GTGATGGGGAACCCTAGCGGGAAACAAGATCATGTCCGGGCTTGGCGTAAGTTTTGTACAACGGCGCTCCATAAGGCGCCTCAAAACAGCTTGTGGCTTCTCGTGGATCAAAAGGAAGAGGAGGCCATTAAGAAGCAAAATGCTGCCCTGCATTCTTACTTACCTCTGGCGATGGCCGGGGAAAATGTCTGGAAACTGGCCGTGGAATTTTTCGAAAAATGAGAGATGGGCAGATTGCTGAGCCACGATGGGGCGAAGTGGACCGTCAAAAAGAAGAAGGTCAAAAGCGTAAAGCTTGGGGTCGCCTACATCCACAATGACAAATTGGGCAGAACGGAGGTGGTGTACAACGTCGTCGTGGACCCGCCGAATAAAAAGGGCAAAAAGGAGAAAGAAGAGGGCGATTGGTTCGTGCAAGTGCCAGACCCGGATGCGCATTGTTGGAAAGCAATGGAATCACTCACGGACAATTAGAAGTGTCGCGTTCTGAAAAAGGTGCTTGCTTGCGAGGTCGTTTGGGTCCAGGCCGGCTCCCCGTTGTTGGCGAAGTTGGGAAAGCTCAGCGTGCAGGACATGGTTCAGCTGGTGAAGTACGACCGCGTGCTGGTCCGGTTGTGGAATTGCTACCAATTCAAGCACGAGAAGAGGCCGGACGCGGACTGGATCCAAATGTACCCTTTCCTGAAATCGAGGTCTGCCGTGTTCAAGAAGTTTGAAGGTCAGGCATTGGATGACGAGTTGTGGGATAACAGCAGGAAACACGTTTCCCACTCGGCGTTGTTCAAGGACTGTCCGCCGTACATGGGTTGCGACCAGGACAAGTCGATTGAGGTGACGGAGAAGTTGGCGGGCCACAAGAAGTTGTCCGTTGACTGGAGAAATAAGGTTCTCTCCGTGTTGAATGGAAGCAGACTGAAGAGCCGGAAAGTCGCACTTGTCGAAGGCGCAGTTCACATTAAATGGAAAGACACGGGGGACGTGACATCCCTCGCGCCGTTCGCCAACGACCCTTTAGAGGCGGACATCAGGGGCGCAGAGTTGAAGGAGGCAGTGGCTGCCACAAAGAGCCACACGTTCGTCCTCGATCTGTGCGAGCCGGTTGACCTCAAACTGTGGAAGCCCCAAGCGTGGGAGACTTTGAATTCCTATCTTCAGACGTGGTGTCCCTCGCATTGGACTCTCGTTGTTTTCGTGCCGCGGCAACACAACCTGTCGTTTCTCGCCAGCATGCACCATCTTTCTTTCGTCAAGCTGTTGGAAGGGAAGTGGGTGCGGAGAGTGCAGCAAAAAAAAAGCTTCCCCATTGGGAACAATTTGTACACGGAGGAAGACCGCATGTACATCCTCTTCAAGGGTGACGATCTGCGCATCAACACGTCCGTGGTCTACGAGGGAAACCTGCCCACGGGTGCCGCTGCTGCGGTGCGATTGCCTCAGAGGGTCACCCAGACGGATGTGTCCGAGATTCCTTTCACGCCTTGCGACTGGTCGCTGGTGGCGCCTGAACGACAGGGCGGCGTCTACGGGGATATGGAACGCAATCCGACCCAATTCGTCGGTCTTCTTGATTTTCTTGGCACTTCGCCTCCCGCATGAACGCGAAGACGTTTATCGAAAGGCTGCAGTTCCTGTACTTCGTGGAGTCCGAGGAAGTTGAAGTTAGCCAGTTATGCTTCCCTGATCTCCACTGACGACGAGGAAGCCATAGGTGTGGAGTTTTTTACCAACGCGAAGGAGGAGGAGAGCGACACAGAGAGCATCGACCTGCAGTACGACCCGTCTCCGGCGAACCACGGACGAGGGTCCTCGTCGGCCGGTCCATCACCAAGCGCTGCAGCCCTCGTGTCACCATTGTCCAAACGGGCGCCGGCCACCACGCTGATGAAGTTGCTGGAGAGACTTAGAGCTCTGGCCGCGCCCCCGCCCGCTTTGCATCCCGGGTCCGTTGTCCCGCCCGATCATCCGTCATGGAAGGATGACAACATCCACTTCCTGCTTGAACCGCAACGTCATTCACCTGAGCAGGACTGGGGCCATGACATGGTTTGGCATCCGGGAGTCATCCAGCCAGCGATACGAAATGGCAAGTGGTTCATGGCCGTGGCAATCCCGGGCGCGGGATGGGTGTCATTCCCACGCGAGTCGAAGTCCAACTTCCTGCACCTCGCGAGGATTTCGGTCCTCCAGAAAGTGAAGGTCGAAAATGACACTTTAGCACTCGGTGACCTGTCCCTCATTTCCACTGCCGGTCGACTGTTTGACGAGCTTCAGGACAAGTGCTGGTCGGAATTGACGGAGGACTACTACGAGCTCGACACGAGTCCGTCGAAGGGCGTGGTGGACTGGAAAGTGCCCCCTCCTAGTGGGTCGGACGGTGGTTCCGGGGGGGGGTCACCTGGAAGTGGAGGGGATGGGGGTGGCGACGCAGGGGGTGGCAAAGGAATCCCGCCTATAGGGGAGAGAGGGTCTCACGGCCGCAACACGACACCGGGAGGCAGCGCCCGGGTGGCGGGTTTCGCCGTCGACCGGACTCCATCGACAGGCACCCGGCCCGAGCACACGACACACTCCGCCGACCCCCAGACTTCGTCCGTGGGCTCAGCGAGGGACACGTTGGCAGCCTTGGTTGCTCTGGGCATTCGCTCAGCCGGAAAGCCGAAGTCCGCCGGGATCCGAACTACGTCGGGTGAGAAGCCGCCAGAGCGGTCCGGAATGCGAAGTTGCTTGGGGTCGGGGGATCCAAGCACGGATCGAGAAATTCGCAGCATTGCGGCGCGGGACGGCGACGTCGGAACGGTGTCGCCTGAGCGGGAGCGACGACCGCAAGGATTGCAGCGGGAGGCTGCAAGTGCAGGGTCCGGCGACACGGAGACCACGAAGTCCGCCGAGATCCGAACTTCTTCGGGCGGGGTTTGTCGGTCAGGGATTGTCGTGCCGTTGAGAGGGGCAGCGTGCACGGGGACGGAAGGGCGGTCCTCGCGATTCGACACGGGTACCGCGGAAGGGGACGAGTTTCGTGGGAGGAAGTAGGGGAGGAAACGGAGGAACAGAAAGGAGCGCAAGAAGGGAAGGAAGAAGGGGAAGAAGAGGTGGAAGGGAAGGAAGCGGGAGAAACGGAGCTAATTGATTTGTTTGAAGGAAGGGAGGGTGCCGGGTCTGGAGAAGACAAAGTGGAACACAGTGAGGACGATGCCGGATCTGGAGAGTCGTCTGACGAGTTCGGACAACTGTACGGAGAGCATCACGAGGATGATGTCGACGACGATGCTACGGCAATAGAGATGGAGACACAAGTGGTCAGCAGCCTTTCTGCAGAGCCAGAGGATTATGTGGTCCGGCCACTGACGTCTGCTGTCGACTTGCAGCACCGGTTCGACGAGGCTTCCGTCGCTATCAGCCCGTCTAAAAAAAGTCGACGTATAAGCATCGACGAAGTTATCGACGGTATCCTCGACGACCACAACGTGTCTGCCCGTCCGTCCGCAACTACCAACGTCGCATTTTCCGTGGCAGATGCCCTCGCTTCGTCGCCGCCGAAGTCTCTGGTGCTGCAGGCCACCCTTGCCGCCGAAGGGGAAGGCGAGTGCGGTGGAGGACGGCATTTGACGTCCCCAAAAAAATCGAGGTTCGGCGGTCAGGCTCTCGACGTGCTCGCTTTGCCTGCGCCAAATTCACCATCGAAGGAGCGGAGAGAGAAACAGACTGGTAAGCCGTGAAGAATGCCTGCGCATCCGGATGTCGTCGGATTACAGTCCGCGCTATACACACGACGACTGTCCACACTATCTGTGCAAACGGGAAGTTCCGGATGCCGGCATGCTACAGCCAGCAGCCCTTCCTACTCCAGCTCGTCGGCCTATCTGTGACTCGGACGGGTTGCTAGTCGATGGCGGCGAAAACTTTGTCCTTACACTCCATCCAAGGAAGGATCTGCCCCGGCTGAGGAAGTCGCCGAGGTGCTAAGAAAGTGGCCAAGTACATGGACTGACAGTTTTTCCTTCTCGCGAATAGTGCCGGTTTTAGTCCGCCGGGATCCGAACTTCCTTTCTCGATGCGTGATGTGGTCAGTCTCAGTGGGGCTGGTGTGTTGAAAAGTCCGCCGCAGTCCGAACTTCGGGGATTGCTGGCCTCCGGCTTTTGTGAGTTGTGGTGGTTTTCCTTTGCGAAGTGCGGGGGGTGATAAGCTCAAATGTTGCAGTCGTTTTGTTTTCCAGTCGCACAACCGCACCTGGGTGCACATGACCACGCGAGATCAGGGTCATGTGGTCAGAGAGGTCCTGCTTGACTGTAGGCCAAGGTGCTAAGAAAGTGGCCAAGTACATGGACTGACAGTTTTTCCTTCTCGGGAATAATGCCGGTTTTAGTCCGCCGGGATCCGAACTTCCTTTATCGATGCGTAATGTGGATAGTCTCAGTGGGGCTGGTGTGTTCAAAAGTCCGCCGCAGTCCGAACTTCGCGGATTGCTGGCCTCCGGCTTTTGTGAGTTGTGGTGGTTTTCCTTTGCGAAGTGCGCGGGTGATAAGCTCGAATGTTGCAGTCATTTTGTTTTCCAGTCGCACAACCGCACCTAGGTGCACATGACCACGCGAGATCAGGGTCCTGTGGTCGGAGAGGTCCTACTTGACTGTTGCGTCTGTACGAATGTATGATTCTCATTTTTCGTTTTGTCTTTCTTCTGTTGTACAGGGGTGGTGTCGTCTCGAACACGGAGGTCCTCCAAATATCCAGAGCACATATTGCAGAAAGTCCCCGGGTTGAGTAAAAAACACAAGGATATGTTAAAGGCATCAGGGGTTGATGTCGAGATCCGGAAAAAGGAGTACACCGTTGCCATTGAGGAATGTCTTTCCCTTCTTGCCCCAGAGAAAGGGACGTATCCACGATCTGTGAGTAGGGGTCAGGCCATGTATGAGAAGTACTTAGCAACGCGTCATGCACCGGGGGACAATGTCTAGAACTCCGTTTCTCACTACCCCACGTGTCCTTTGCTCGATGTTGTGCAGTGCGGGCAACAAGTGCAGCACGCGGAAAAAGTTTCGCTGCGACGATTGCGCCTCTGAGCTTGCGGGTTTTGGATGACATTGTACGAGGCTCGGTGCCGTCTAACACTATTCTCTCTATACTGGGCGATGGTCAATTTCGGATTGCAGCAAAAGATCTCCTCACCCTCTTGCATGTCAACGGCAGGGTGAATGATGAGGTGGTCAATTTCTATATGGCGTTGTTGGGGTCGACCGCATGTGGGTCACGTGACATCTCTTCATGCCTTTAAGTCTTCAACTTTAATTCGTTCTTCTTCAGTAAACTGCGACTTCAAGGACACGGTGGGGTGCAGAGGTGGGCTAAAAACGTAGATTTGCTTCGTTACGATATTATCTTCGTTCCTGTCCACAAAGATGATGATCACTGGATCCTCGTTTCCGTCAACATGAGAGATGATGTTCTCGAAATTTTTGATTATTTTCCTCGCATTGTAGCTGATTCAAGTTTTTACCTTAGTGTTTTCGGGTTGATTGTGCAGTATTTGGAATGTCAAACATCACATAGGCGGTCGGGTAGGAATTGGAAGTCCATGGTGGGAAATGTTTTGGTGGATGGAGTTCCGAGACAAGTGGATGGAGCAAGCTCTGGTGTGTTCATCTTGATGTATGCGACGTTGTTGCAACATGGAGATCGACCGCCTTTCCGGTTCTCTTGTAAAGATATTCCGCTTCTTAGACGACAATTAGCATCATGTGTCTTAGAACATCGTTGTCTTTGATGGATTTGATTGACTTCGAAACTTTTTTTTAAGGTGTTTCATTCGTTGATCGTTAAATTTCGTAAATCGATACATTATTCAATTGTCCTTCTGCCAGAGGCATTACTTTCTTTTATCGTTCTGAGTTCGCATTATCTACGGCAAGCTCAATGCATGTCCTGCGTCATGTATGGGCTTTGTAATCTATGTCACGTAATGTTCCATGTTCCGAATTCTGTTCAAGTTGAAGTATTGTGTTTCATGTTTCGAATTCTGTTCAACTGGAAGTGTAAACATGATTGTGAAACTAGTTGGTGGATGAATGAGAAATCTCATCTTATGTGAAATTGGTCAGTGGATGCCCAAACCTTCTCTGCATGACCATTTGAAATGCGGATATTCATCGTGATGGAGCACAATTTAATCTAATTCAATCTAATTACATTGCTAATTTTGTTTACAAAAGTTCAACAACTATGGATGTCAGCAAACTTTCGCATTTTGGGCGACTGGGCGGGCATGCCCATGTACAAACACTGCAGTCAAAAATGAATTCGTAAGAAAGAGGACAGTGTCACAATATAGTTACTGTATCTTTCATCACATTTATAAAATTGAAGTTTGACAAGTTAGGATCACGGCACAGTTCCGCACAGGGTTCCCTTTGGCGTGCCAATCGTTGTTTGTTTATGAAGTTTGACTAGTATGGATCCCAACACACTTCCCCACAGGATCACCAACATGTTTTTAATGTTCAACAAGTAAGGATCCCAACACACTTCCACATTTGGGATTTCATTTATGAAGTTTCACAAGTATGGATCTCAGCACGCTTCTGCATGTGGTTAACCCCTGGATGGGCATGCCTGCGTTGCTTAGGCTGCAGCCAAAAAATAATTCGTTAGAAAGAGGACACAGTATAATATCCTATTTTAACGAATAACGTGTTCTAGATGCGCTAATTACCGAGTTTGACCTATCTGAGAATTTAACTCGATTATTGGTGGAAGCCTACAAGGAAGATCGTGTTACAATTAACATCATCCACAAACTTAAGGTCCAAGACAAGGCCACATCTGATGAGTTTGTGATGGTGGATGGGTTGCTCTTTCTTGAGAAGGCAAGTCTTAAAAGATTAGTTGTTCCATCTAGGATGATTTTGCGTGGTTTATTTGTAGGCGAGTGTCACGATGCAATGGGTCATTTTGGCTATAAAAAGACTAGTGCTAACTTAGTACAATGTTTTTGGTGGCCTAACATGCTGGGCAATGCAAAGAAGTATGTACAAACCTGTCAGGTCTGTCAGCGGGAAGCCGTGGACTCAAGCTCCACTTGGGTTACTAAAGCCTCTACCCATTCCTGCTGGTCCGAGACAGAGTGTTTCCATGGACTTCATGGATACCCCGTGAGCAGCAAGAGTGGCAAGAGGCATATCTTCGTCATAGGTGATAGGTTCACTAAGTATGCTAGGCTGATCGCCATCATGCCAGAGACCGCCAAAATTGAGCACGTCATCAAGTTATTCATGGATAACTGGGTGCGTGACTTTGGATTGCTAAAGACAATCGTTAGTTATAGAGATGTCCGCTTCACTAGTGAGATGTGGAAGAAGGCTGCAGAACAGATGGGCAGCCAACTCCAGATGACTTCTGGGAATCATCCTGAAGCCAACGGACAGGCTGAACAGATGAACCGAGTGGTGCAGCATCTGCTCAGGCATTATAAAAAGCCCAGCCGAGATGACTGGGATGAGAAGTTACCCCGCATCGTCAGTCTTTGCAACAACGTTGTACACTGCACCACCAAGTCATCACCCCCAATGAGCTGCATTTCGGATGGAAGCCTAGATCTGCTCTAGACTTCCTCCTGCCTGAAAATCGAACCGCCGCAACTCTTGAAACCCTCGAATTTGGTGTCCAGTACGAGAAGCTATAATTGCAGCAAACTGTCGAACACATCCAGAAACCTCTGGAAGCAATGATCGCTTATGAGAACAAGCATCGCTGACAGTCCACATTTCAGGTAGGGGACCATATCTGGGTAAAAGCTAGTGAGTTGGAATGATGAGTTCGACATCTCTAGAAATCTAAATTAAGTGCCTCTGTATTTTGGTCCCTGAAAGTCTTAGATATTGTGGGTAGTGAAGAGGATGGTCCCTCGTACGTGATTCGTATCCCTGGTCAACTACTCACTTACCCTGTGTTTCACGCCTCAAAGCTTGCACCTTTTGCTGAGGCACAACAGTTCCCATCAAGGAGATTTATGCTGCCCCCAACCATGGATGGCCACATGGACGTCGACAACATCTTGGAACAGAGAGACATGTCTGTTCCCAAGCCAGCTGGCAGGGGAAGACCACCTAAGCCTATCAGAGAGTACAAAGTCCGGTTCAGGCATCATACGGATGTAACGGATCCAAATGAAGATCGTTGGTTCACAAGGGAGGAACTTGTCAAGACAGTTCCTCAGATTGTGGTTGAGAATGAACTAAGGCTGAAGCCTGAAGGAGAAGGCACCTGCATGAAGCATCTCAGCGGACATTTGAAGCTAAGGGGGATGAAATGCGAGGAATGAGCCCTCACGGGGCCTCTATCAGACATGCATATGTTATGGGCAAAGGCCCTCAGAGAGCCCCGTGCCCGGCCTGAGTGAAGGCAGGCCTGAATATTCACAAGAGGCCAAAATTTGACATTTTTCCATATGTGGGTCCTCAGGCAGTTGAGGTACGCCAGTTGGTTACGTGGAAAAATGAGCCTCCCTGCTGCGCCTGGTAGTTGTGCCTCGGCACACACACTGAGAGGCAGATACATCACGAAGTGGCCAAGGGCCTACGAGAAAGCAGCGTTATTGACAAACGTACCCCGAGGCCTGTACAGATGCAGCAAACAGCTGAAGTCTGGAAATGTTGGGTGTGCCTCTATACAGGGCCCAGGCCCTCAACTGCAGAGTAAGGCCTGGGCGCAGGCACCAGGGCCAGACCGGAAGCTACTGGGAGCTTC